AGATTATTCGCGGCTTCCATGATGACTTGTCAGTTGATGGAGTTAGAATTGATCCTGACCAAGGTTGCCTCTTTTATCGTCACTTTGGCCAATCCATTTACATCTCAAACTATTAAGGGGATCCTTGACCATTGGAAGTCAATATTGCTTTCGCAGGCTCTCATACAGGCTAAGTCTAATAGTGGAACAGGCCGCAGGATCTGGGCTTACCAGTTTGATTTTCACAGGACAAGCCATGCTTCTTTTCCCCAACTTCGATTGGAATGTTGAGGATGCGCAGAATGAACTAAGATTTTTTTGCTATGGTGTTAGAATATATCAGAAGGAATTTTTGTCAGGTTGCGTGATCTTCTCATGCACCCACAACAATAAATAATACTTAATATAAAACAAGGCAAAACATGTATGCAATTCAAACAAATGCATTTATATACAATACAAATATTATATACAAAATATTATTGATAATTGAGATATTATTGTGTTGTTATGTTTGTTAGTGGATGAAGATTCTGTTTGTTTTTTGGTGTCTTGGTGTATTTGTATTACAGTCTATAAGAATTCGTAATTAGTGTTTAAATACCGTTATGTTCGTGTTGTTCTTTTTGTATTGTTTAGAATTGAGTCATTCAGAAGTAGTCTACCCTTAACTGTAAGTATGAAATATGTTCAATAATAGTATTTACTTAAATTGTAGTGAGCGTTAATAATTCACTTTGGATAAGTAAAGTCTTGCGAGTTGAACTTCTTCGTATTCACAGAGTAATCTTCGAGTCGAGTTTGTGGGTGAGTCAGTTGTGGGTTTTTTCGCGCGGGAAAATTATAATCGCAAGTTACGTGGATTCGATTAGCGCTTCTCTGTGTTCGCTGGACTGACTGATTTATCGTAAATGATCAAAGAGAATGTATAGTTTGAGATTCTTGAATGACGAAGAAGTTCGTAGAAGATATGGAACGGGAAAGATTTGTCGTCTCGATTCATCGAGACGAGAGTAGTAGTCGTCACATTTTTAAGCTTGAGTGAGCGGTCGAAAAAAAATGGTCTGCTGCTGATCTGCCCAGGTCTGCATCTGCCTATCACACGTGCTTTGTTTTTTTTTTAAGAAGTCATGATCACGTGGGTGGCTAAAAAACGATTTTGCGCCAAAACTTCGAAGTGCACGTACCAATCAGAGGGCTAGATTTACGAATGAAAGTTGGAATAGTGGATTATTCGAAGAAGGTAAGATTGGGCTAATAGACGAGTCCAATAGGAATGTGCTATATCGAGCATACGCGAATAAGTGGGCGAGCTTTGTTAATGCTGTCAATAGATTTAAGAGGTGTACGTGGTATATAGTATTAATAATCGAGACCCTGGCCGGATTGCCGAGACCAATTACATTGCCAAGGAGTTGGTGATTGCCTGTAACGACGAAGGTTCATTTAAGTACTAAGCTGAATGGACTCGTACTGCTAGGAAATTTGTCCTGGCTTTCCCGCATCGAAAGGTTGAGGTAAAAAAAAATTGCAACAAAACGCGAATGAAAATCGCAAGATTAGAGCGGACAAACTCTCTCTTTTAGGCGCGGACGAATAAAGAAAAAACTTCTGCTCAGTGTGTAACAATAAAAGAAGAAAGAAAAAAGAAAGTGTTTATTTATATATACAGAAAAAAAAAGATAAAGAAATAAAAACAATTAGGAGAGAAAGAAAGGGAGAAGGAAATGTCATTTAAGGCAAGAGAAAATGTTCATAACAGAAAAAAGGCTTACTCAAAATATTTCTCTGAGCCACTAAAAAGTTCTTTAAGCGAGTAGAAGGTTGTTCAGGGTTAGAAACACTCACAGTTTTCTTCACAGTTCTTGTAGAGTAGGAAAATGTTGGTAGATATAAGAATTCTGCAGTTGAGTGAGTTTATAGGTCGACGAGAAAGTCTTGTAGGTGAAAGGAAGCAGCTTCCACTGGTCTTTAATTGTGGGCCGACGTTCGTTTTCGACAGCCCTTTAGTAGTTCTTCTTTGGTTGAAAGTGGTTCCGAAGTTGACTGGTGCTCTCTATCGCCGACCTTACAGACGGTGGGCCGAATTCTCACTTCCAAATAGGTGAAGATTCTCCAAATTTATGGAGATTGGGGATGCTCAGAAGGATCGGGGACTTTACCCCTCGAAAATCTTTATACAAATTTCCTGGCCCCTCCATTGGTCAGAAAACACATTCTTATCCCTGATAAGAATCAAGGCTTTGAGAACCGGTTTTGAAAGTAACGAAAAAGGGGAACAAGCTGTGAGGTTTCCAGCAGAATTTATGGCAACAGGGAAAGAATAATGGCGGTGGAATTCCTTTTTATTTTTTCCAGCTCTCTCATTAGTCGGAAAATATATTCTTATCTCTGATAAGAATAAAGGCTTTGGGAGCTGGTTTTGAAAGTAAAAAAAAAAAAGGGTTGGAGTGAGGATTGGAAAAATAGGCTACATTGTGAACTTGTAAAATATTGTTCTCAAATTAAATTCCAATAGTACACCCAAATTTAAAGAAACGATTGTTGACACCCAAATTAAGAAGTACATCGAGGCAAAGGGTCATGCAATGTCGAAAAAGGGATGGCTTTTCACTACAGAATCATCCGACACTTGATCCTACCGTTCAAGACTTGATTAATACGTTGGTTCAGCACTAGTCTGTTGTGGTATGTTAATATATATGCGACCATTTGTAGATGACTGTTTATTAACATGACCACACGATTTATATTTAACGTAAAATACCACAAAATATGAAACACAAGAAGGAACAAACTGTTTTATAACAACAACATTTATATTTATTTTTGTGTAATGATGTACATGCGTAGAGGTTAATATTTTGTTGGTGTTATGTCCCTTTGACTGTGTGGTGATGATGATCATCATCACACACACACACACATACACTCTTACAAATTCAAATCTTCAATAACAATCATTCATTGGATAAACACACAAGTGGGCGTCGTAATCCACCCACACACAATATTTTCCAACGCATGACTAAGTCAAGTTTCCCGCCAAAAGCGCTGTGATTCCGTCACGTGACTACTGTCTATAAAAAAAAGTTTGCCTGTCTTTCTCTTTTTCTGCTCTCTTCTTACTCAGCCAAGATGTTGTCTTCAAGAACTCTCGTCTTGACCTTGCGGTCAGACGTTAAAGAACATTACCAAACTTCACGCGTGTCAATTCACTGACTCAATATCACTTCAAAATTCTCAACAGACTCAACACAGCACTCATCGACCATTGTCCGCGTGGTAATCATATTACAATTGACTTAAAAAGTGAACGTTTTCACTACACAACAGTAATTGTACAATTCATCAATTTAGCCAAACAGTTAAAAGCAAAGAACTCTTCACGGCTTAAATTCTAACTAACAAGTAACACACGCATACGCACTAATATTTGAACGAACACATTTAAGATTTTTCCTTGCAGAAACCAAATTATTTTAATGTTGTGGATTCCGTGTTGAAATCCGGTACCAATAAATAACAAACGCCAGGAATGAATATATGAAAATAATATATTAACGTAATAATACAAACTGGTAAAGCAGGAATACGGGTTAGTAGCAAAATATATATACAGTCTTTGGTATTGAAGTATTGCTGTATGACTTCTTACTGAGTCTACGTGCTCGCTCACTGTGACTCCTACAACGCTGTTACCTCACCCTCATTCGTCCGGTTACCTACAACCTTTTACTCTGTCACTCTGGACTCGACTCGACTCCTCGATCTTGCTCTCGGGTATTCACTGGCAGTAGTATAAGTATACACTGGGTGAGTCCATTTGTATAAAAAGGGGTGGACCCCTCAACATTTAATTTCACTAACAAATCAAAACAATTCTGCATGATCATTTTTAATAACCTTGTCTCAATTGCCACAATCAACAAACATTCTGTTATCCTTGCATGTATATCTATTGTATTTATAAAAATCTCTTTATTGTTGGATCTCTAACCACTGTGTTTTTAGTCATTTCTTGCAATACAATTTGTCCTTATATTCTTTATTTGATCTACGTGTTGTGGGATAATGCATGATAAGCATGATAAGCACGCATAATCTTTTGCCTTTTTATTTGAGCTCACAAATTGAATGAATTATAAATTACCTTCTGATACATTTTCACTCAGCTACAACCCGCAACAACTGAATTAATATTTTTATTTGAGCTCACAAAGGTTGAATGAATTATAAAGCTGTGACATGCTGAATAAACTGTACCTTTAGAAAAGTATTTCAAAAAGGAAAAGTTCTTGTTGCTTGTTTGGAAAGCTTTGGCCCGTTTTAGTAATGTAATGGAAAATTTCCTGGTAGTTTAGGATACGTACGGTGCATGCGTGAATATCCTTTTAACGTCTGACCGCTTATGGTCGAAACGACCGAAATCGCTTAAAGATATCACCAGGCGAAGATCTTCGGGCAAGAAAGTGATGCTTTCACTGGGCGGATCGACCGCGGAAATAGAGATCAGAGGGAAACGGAGTCAAACAGGGCCAAGGCTGCTATTTTTAATTAAACGGGATGCAAAGTGTCACCAGGCGAAGAGGCTCCCTAAACGGAAAATGGCCACAGGGATCAAGTTGATCTTGGTCACGCGCTGGAAAGATATTTGCACGTTCACAGGCGGATTGCCCACTCCGGGCCGAGCTGCCTAGTTTGGGCGAAAAAAAGTGTCTAAGGATATTTGCAAAGATTTGTTCAATTAGAAGCCGATAATAAATTTAGTCCCGAAAATGGCCGTATGAAGGTATGGTTTGACATCAACGAATAAGCTTTGGCCTGTTGCTTTTCTGCGAGATCGAAAATTGGCTTTGTAATAATCGGCGACCGCGACAAGGCCAAAAATTGATAAATTAAAGGGGTAACCCTCCTACGGGATGCTAAAAGTCTCTGCTATAATGATACAACTTCTCCAGAAAAGCAGGCTTATCCGATCGGATGGTGGGTCGAGTTGGCGCGCTTGATCGTAAGGTGTAATGGAAGAACCTGAAAAGGACCTGGTATGCCGGCGTGAGTGGTCGTTGTCGTTCCGTACGAAACGAATTTGCAATCTGTAAAACAATTTGCTGTCGTGGAAATATATTTATGGTTTTGTGGCGGAGTTCCTCGAGTGAGTTTGATCCGTCACTGGGTAGCGCAAGAGGTGTACCGAAAACCTGTTCGGCGGGTGAACCCCCCTCCTTTACGGTGTTCCTCAATGCTTTTTAAAGGTAGGTCGTCCACTTTTTAAGTGTTGGCGCACGGATGATAAGCGGTAGTCTTTACGCTTTGGTAAACTCCGAAAATCACTGTGCACCTCGAGGTGGTAAATGGTTACCGTCAAAAGATACTTGCCTCCCACTAAGTCGACATGTATGAGAACAATTACGACTAAGTATGCACGTGAGTTCGAACCTAGCTCGCTGGATGCCCCAAATACTTTCCGAAGTTGTGCCCTACATCTAACCTACGCTTGGAAAATCGCTATCTGATCAACTATGGAACTTTTGTTCAGCGATGTCTCCCAAGACGCCGGTCTGAAGAAATAGAATCTAAAAACATGTGACGCATCATCAGTGAAATATATGTCAGACATATCATGAAGATACAAAATTTCAAGCCTAAATGCCTGAATAATATTGTTTTTAAAAATGCGATGGGTTCGCGTTGTGAATTTTACACATTTTATATAATATATACTAGGAAATAGTCTTAAGGAGTATTTAGATTGTGTCATCATAATCAAACATTTAAAGAAAAAATATAAATTATAATTTAAATCTAAATAAACTAATTAAGGTCGCAGAGGGAAAAAAAAGGGTTTTCCAGAGTTAAGGGACGCTACAGAGAAAGGGAGCCCCCAAGGTGCAAAATCATGGACGGTCTGGTACGGTCGAAAATATCGAGTTCATCCGCCATGATGAAATAAACGGAGTATCGAGGCGTTACGATAAGTTAGTTAACTGTTTCATAAAATAAACGTATATTTCGATTTCTTATATCCTCACATAATAAATGTGTTTGTTTGCTTTTGTATACGAAATTACGGCTAAATTAAAGATTATCTCAGATCACTCTGACCGGAAGTAATAAGTTCACGGGAATTTCAACTTGTTCCGTCGATCCCAAACGTAAAATAGACGATATACCGGAAGAGTCTGTTTTTTTATTCGGGGTTGGGGAGGTTGGCCTCACAACGATGAACGGAAGCGTTATTGGAGCGAAGGTTTCTTCCCCCAAGTTTTCCTTTCATAAACTATGACATGGAAGGACAGATTGAAAAAACTACTGGGTGTTGCTTTAAGAATACCTCCATTGTTCGTAATGGATGCTATACTGAATCGGCAAACTTCTACAGGCCTTTGGTTCCTATTCAACTTCGCCGATGGTCTGTACACTTGGGCACTACATGTTCTAACAGTATTGTTAGGAATATCAGGTAACAGTAACTTACCAATATTTAAATCTGAACATTCTTAAAACATTTATATTAATGTACGCGCCTTTGTTTTTTTTTTTTCATTTCTTTAAATAATAAATTAGGTTACTTAGATATGACACTCGTGGGGATCATCGTTTTGTGTTGTTTTTCTTCACTGTAAAAAATGTCGTATATAGCTTATACTTCATTTAAATAATTTTTATTGTATAATTAGTTTATAAATAAGATATGTATATTTTTTAACGCAAGTAAAATAATTATAAGTGTTTTTTTATGTTTAATCGCGCCAAAGTGTGAAAGTGGAGTCCCTAAACAGGGCCCTAAAGACCAGTGATGCTACACTTCACGGGGCAACCAAGGAACGGATACAACGCCAAAGTGTACGAAATGTTGTATTACTCATAGTTTTCATCGTTTTAAAAAGCCGGAAGTGTTAATTTCTATAGTATTTTTTTCTTTTTAAAAACGAAATAACTTTTCTTTAGTTTTTATTTCGATTTAACATGTGAAGATAATCACTTTAATATGAAAATGATGTAACTAACACAACTCTTGTTAATAATAGTAAAAGTGACAGGTGTGAATTATGTTTTGATTTTTTTTTTTTTTTTTTCGCAATTTTTGATCAAAAAATGCACAAAATTATTGTTTTAAAATCAAAACTGACAGTCTCCACTCAATTTTCACGCTAAAAATGTTTATGACAACAATTTGAAATAAAGAGAGCTAAAAAGGCAATTGACCAGTTAAGTAAAAAAAAAATGATTTAAAAAACTAGAAAAAGCGTTCATTCTTCATTCCCCCCACCACTCTTTTAAATCTCTATTAAAAAAAGGTCATATCAATGACATTATTTCAAAATTTTTTAAATAAATTGTAGCTTTTTGCTTTTAAAAAGCAAATAAGTTTATCTGTTGATGTCTTCGTTTCAAAAAGTGCTGTAACGGAATAGCTGGAAAAGAAATGTGAAAACTAAATTTCGCTTTTAGACACTAAAACTTTTTTTATTATATGTTTTATTTTTTTGCCTGTGCTTTTTTTCTTGGAATTTTATATAAACACAAACCTTGTCAAAGTTAAATCTGAAAAAACATTATTTTAATTTTTGTTTTTTTTTCATTTCTTTAAATAATAAATTAGTTTTGTATTGGGATCATCGTTTTGTGTAATTTTTACGTCTTATTGTTTTGACGACTTAACTTATGTATAAAACCAAATTAAGTGTTTGTTAAATTGAAAGTGTTAAACAAAAAAAAAATTTTTTTAAAACGTTTAAATTCAAAATGTCCCTCCACTTACAAAAGAAAAAAAAAACAAAATTTGAATATCATGATGAAAAAAAAAAATGCCTAGAAAAAAGCTTAAAACCAAAGTTTTATTGCCAAAATGTTTATCTGTTGATGTCTTCGTTTCAAAAAAAGTAACGGAATAAAAAGAAATTAGACACTAAACTTTTTATTATATGTATTTAAAAAACAAAACCATTTTAAACCTTTCTAAAACATTCAAAATTTTGTCCTTAAAAAAAAAAAAAAAGCAACAGCATATCATGATGAAAAAAAGCCACAAACTATTTTTTGGTTGGGGATTACTTATTTAAAACAAAAGCATTTTAAACCTTTCTAAAACATTCAAAATTTTGCTTTTTTTTTTTTTTTTTTTTTTTTTTTTTTGATGAAAAAGACATTGATTTGGAAATTCTTGCAAAATTCAAATAATTGTCGGATTTTAATTAAACTTTAGGGTTTATTCACAAATGAATGAAATTATTTTTGAAATTTCTTGTTTTAGGAAATCTTGGTAAAAATAAATAATTTTTTTTTATGTGACCTCCCACTTAATGCATTTTCATGAAATTAAATTTTCTTTTCAGAATTTTTTTTTTTTTTTATTAGTTAAAAGTAGAACTCCTTGAAGAATATAAATCATTCAATTTTTTTTCAAACTTTTACTATTTGTACTGAAAACCTGCACTAAAAATTTGTAATCTAGCTATGACATTATTTAATTAGAATTAATTAATTACTTCTAATTGCTTCTGTAAATAAGTTATATTAAGGACACTATTGTTTTGAGAAAAAATGTTCGATGAATAATAAATTTTTACTGGAAATTTTTCATTTTTTAAAATTTTAATTATAATAATTTAAAAATCATTTAAAATTCTGCATTACTTTCTTTCTTTTAGCTGATATTATAATTAAAAAACAAGATGTACGAATCCAAAATTGAGAAACTTAATATACGTCATTTTACTATTATATTTTTAAAATAATTTTTTATTTTTTTACTTTAATCATTACCATTTTTCATCTATGGTAGCCTAAACGTGGCATTATTATGAAAAGGTAACATGTAAGAGTTGTCCTCCATTTTCAGAGAAATTCACTTGTCTGAGTTAGTGTCAAATTGTTCAAGCCCTCTTTCTACATTTTGTATCCCAGAAATTTCAACTTTCTGATTCTATGTCCTTTGTGATTTCTATTTTCCTTAAAACTTCCTTGTTACGCACATGTTTTGTCCATGGTATTATCAGCATTCTTCCGTGTAAAATCACATCTTTGTTGTTTCATGTCTCTCTGGAGTATGGCCAAATCCTGTTAAAATATTGGTTCTCGTACAATCACCAAAGTTAAGCAACATCGAGCCTAGTCAGTATCAAGATGGGCAACTGCATGGGAATACAATGTACTGTAAGTTTGGATGTGTGGGTGGTGTAATGGATAACAACTTAGGATTGGAAATTGGAGAGCTGAGCTCCAAATCCAATTAGGTTCATTGTATTCACTTATGTGCAAATACACTTGGGAAATGTATGAATGCACTGCTTCTCCTCCCAAGCTATGGGTTAATTAGTAGGACTTGTATAAGTAAGTCATTATCTCAAAGTTCTTGTAATCCAAAAAATATTTTCTGCTTTTAAATAACCCACAAAAGGTTGATAGCCTTTAAAAAACATCAGTCAAGTCTCTTCCTTATCTGAGAAAATTGTCCAGCATTCATTGTCATCGATGGATATTACAAAGCAGTTCATCACTCTGTTTTGTTTCTTAATACTTTTGGCTTTTAAACATTCACAATTTCTTTAACAGAATTTGCAAAAACAATTGTTTCTCATTATTCCTTTTACTACAAAGCAAATTAACTCTATTATGTTGTCAATTTTTATTAAATAGAATAAATTTAGCTTGTCTGTAATTAAAAATGGTATCACAGTAATGATGAAAGCACTGAAATGTGTCACAGTACTTTACAAAAGGTTAGTGTCACATGATTTCCATAGTTTTAGATATGTGGCAATCAGAGAAAATAAATAAGCCTGTCTTTCTAGATTTCATATTTTGTCTACATATTTCCATTTCAATTGTTTGCATTCTGCTTTTTTATTTCCAGTCAGTGAGCCTATTTCATTGGCTAATTACAGTGACTAGTTTTTGCTCACTTGTCTCATCTCTTTTTGTCACCAATAGTTTATTTTGGACATTTTAAAAATTGTTTCTTCTGCTTGAGTGATTCAGTTGATTTTGAGCATTGTTTTATGGCACTCAATGGCACATACAGAATAAAAATTAGAACTTGTCTATATAAAAAAAACAAAAACAGAATTAACATCTATCCTTTTAACAAATAGGAGTACTGATTTAGGTCTATATTTCTATTAATAAATTAAATGGGGTGTATGTAAGTGTGACTATAGTACCTTTAGAAAGTAAAACGAAATGAAAGGGCTTATGGCCACATCATGTTGAAACACTGGTCCGAGTACAATCACCGAAGTTAGACAATGTTCATCCTGGTCAGTGTGTAGATGGGTGATTACTTGGAATTATAAGGTACTGTAAGCTTGGATGTGTGGGTGGTGTAATGGATAACTGGTCAGAATTGTTGATTAGAGAGCAAAGTTCCAATTCCTGCTGAGTTCATTATATTCACTTCAAATATCCTTGGAAAGGTCTGGATTCATCTCTTCTCCCTCAACTATGGGTTAATCAGTAAAACATATCACAAAACCATTATTTCAAAAAAAAAATTCTTACAATCTAAACATATTTCCTTGCTTTTAAATAACCTGTAATGGGTTGATAAACTGTAGAAAATATATCAACCAACCAACAAAAAACAAACAGAAAAAGAATACATTTTATTATGCTGAAACACTTTAACTATTCTTACCTTCTACTGGAAGAAAAAGAATAAGAATTTCCTGCCAATCTTGGTTGGTTAAACTATTAACATATTATTAGATTTTTTTTTGTTTCAACCTGAGGTAGTAATAAATTATATCTTTAAAGCATATATCAATCATTTAAAACAAAAATGCTAAAAGGCTTTGAAACTTTTAAAAGTAATATCAAAAAGGAACTGGGATGCAAACTGAAAGGTAATGTTCAGAGTATGTAGATTGCATATTGGATTGAAATTAGACTATAGATGCATTATATACAGTGCCACACGCAAATCCCACCTAAAAACCATACAAAATCAAAGTTTGAGACTAAGTTTAGGTGCCTTCCACACTTCACCTATGCAAAACCTTTATATAGAAACCAACTAACAACTTTTGTCTTTGATATGGGAAAAAATAGCCCTCCAATATACACTAAAACTACAATCCAACCCAACATACCAAAAAACATAATCCTCAATATATTTGATTCTACAATAATAGTCCAACAGCTATTCTCTCATTTGGACTTCAAAACAAAGAAGCACTAAAACAAGTGAACAAAAACCCTGATAACATGATTCACAATAAATAAAATAGCTTCATGGGTAATCTCTGAACCTCACATAGATCAAGCACTGACACAACAACAAAAGAACACAACCAACTACATGAACCAAAACAAATATGGAAAACTGAGAGATAAATAGTGACTACAAACCATTCTATACAGATAGATCAAAAGTCCTGGACAGAATAGATGCTACAGTTACAGACAAGTTCACAAACAAATTAGACTTCCAAACAATGTGTCCATTTATACATCTGAGCT